CCCCCCCCTGCCTCTCGCAGGCGCGCAGGCGGCGCGCCCACGGGCCAAGCGCGCGCAGATCCACTCTCAACAGCACCCGATCTTTGCCTGGTCTGCTATCCCATCGGCATTCCCCCACCTGCTGAACACACCACAACACAATCAGTCCACGATAGCCACCAAAACTGTGCTGAAGTAGGAGACACGCATGGAGACCCGTGGGATGCGCGCGAAGGAAAAGCAGCACAACAAATCCGGACGGGCCGGGCTTCGCTCCTCCCCCCGCCGGTGCGCAAGAGAGGCTAGAAACAACAAGCCGGGGGGCTGCGATGCCGATCTCCCACACCACGTCGTGCTGGAAATCGTGTCCTTCCTCGACACCCGATCCATCGTAAGTGGCCGGTGCTTGTCTCGCGCGTTCAGCAGCGACGCACCGGCGCTGGTCAAGACGCTGGACTTCCACATGGGGCAGCAGTCTCCATCCGCCGAAACGATCAAGCTGTTCCCTGAGGTCAGGCAGGTGAACCTCGACGGTAACCGAGACCTGGTGCACGCGGTGGTCGCAGGGCTCCGCGGGTGGGGGTCCTCACTGCGCCTGGACGTTTCCCTCCACGACTCCGTCCCACAGAAGGAGGAGCCGCTGAGCAAGACGGCCACCACCGACCTGTGCGCGTTGCCGCTGACCGAGCTCGACATGATGGAGGTCGTCATCGAATTCCCGCCGTTGCTTCCGATGAACGCCTGGCGAACGCTGCAGAGGCTCGTGATCCGCGACGCCTTCCTCGGGGACGAATCCCTGGAGAGCCTGTCCAAGTCCATCCCTGAGGGTGCCCTACCGCTGCGCCATCTTGACCTCTCCAGAAACCTCTTCGGGGGCTACGACACCGTGTTGCCCTTCGCAGACGCGCTCCGGTCCTTCCCCGACCTGGAGTGGCTCGAGCTCTCGGCGTGCCGCATCTGCCGCGGCTCGGGTGACCGCATCGTCCGCACGCTGCTCGAGGGCGCCTGCCCGAAGCTCAGGACCCTGGACCTCTCCCTCAACTTCTTCACGAACGGCCTCCTCGCGTCCCTGTGCGAGGGGCTGGGGGCGCCGGGGCACGGGCTGCTCAACCTGCGGAAGCTTGGCTTCGGCTCGCGGGTCACCGGCGACGAGATGATAACTTGCTTCGAGAAGGTCGGGAAGGCCCTCGCCGCCGGCGGCCTGCCCAAGCTGGACTTCCTCCACCTTCAGGGCGACGTAGGGCCGCGGCAGGTCTCCCCGGTGCTAAGCCGGTTGAGGGGCGGGGCGTGCCCGATGCTGGCGATGGTGAAGCTGGAGCGTTCTCTCCACTCCACGCTTGGCGAGGACGAGTTCGGCGCCGAGGACGCCGCACAGAGCATGTTCAACCTGGTGATTTCGGGCCACATCCCGCACCTCCGGGAGGTGCACGCGCTGGGCATGGCCCTGAACGAGGGGATGGAGAAAGCGAATGAGGCGGGGCGTGACTCGGCGTTCTACAGGGCCAGGAACCAGTCAACCTGGCACCATCTCGCCGTCGAGGGCAAGGCTAGAGGTGTCCAGGTGTTTGTCTAAATGTGACCTTCTCTGTAGCTTTGTTTGGATTGGGTAACCGAGTGACCTCTTTTGTAAGCGTGGATTCGGTGGGTGGTAAGAACGGTCGTTGATTCGCGCGATGATACTCGTATACGAGCGTTGGGTGTTTCGTGTCTGCTGTCTCCTGCTGTCGTCAACCCCCGCAACAATCTCGGTTTTTTAAGCTCAACATTTGAACACGGATCGAGATTTTTTTCATGATTCATGGCAGAAATTTGAAACTGTGAACAGGAACGAGCTCTCTCCTTTAGCTTCGGGCGCGTTGTTTGCTTGTTTTTTCGCCAGCTTTCGGAGCTTCAACTCCTGGGCTGGGAGCGCCGTGAGTGAGCGCTCAGCCCTTGTGTTTTCTGTTTGCGTCTTCCGGCCGTGTGCTGCAGCAGTTACCGCTTCCACGGCGTGCTCGTGTGGCGGGGTTTAGACCTTTCTTTGCCGATACATGGTCTCCTGCAGCTAGCTGCAGATCCGCTCTGTAGGCACAATTTGATCGCGTTGGTATATTGCACGGCGTGTCTTGTCGCCGCTCGTGGTTAACTCCCGGTGCTGTCTGTGTGTCTTCTTCTTTTAGAATGGCCATCGTAGCGTGTCATCGTTTCGTATATGTGGTGTACGCGCCTTACTTGCAGGAGCAACGTTGTGTCTCGCGGGATAGGTTCTCTGTGTTGACAAGGGCCATTGCACCGCTGTATATATGTATATCTGTTTCATGCTGTTTGGTTTGTTGAACTCTGTGGTGTGTCGTTTGCCCCTGTACAGTAACCTGTGGTACTATCGTAGTCGGGGTGAAACAAACTGCCGAGCGACGGTCTGTGCGCTTGTCTTGACATCTCTTGGCTTGAAATTAGCTGGTGTGCCGGCATAGATATTAGCGGTACCTGCTTTTGCCGTCTTTGACTTGCGCCCAGAACGTGTTTGAGTGCCCGTTGTGCAGATGCTGCATGCCGCTTGCCGGGGCCAGTTAAACTGTCCTTTCGTGTTACATCCAAGAAGGGACGCCTATTCCTATTAAAGGACATAATTAAGTCTTGTCCGAAGTAGGTGGGGAAGCAATAACCAGGTATCTCCAGTGCTTTGTAGCGACAATTAAATGCCGTGCGATTTTTTTATTGCGTGTTCGCTGCTCGTTGGCGACCGGAACAAACGGAGGAAGCAACTGTGTTTTTGCGGGAGAGGGTGTTCTCGGCTCTGTTTAGCTAGCAATGCTCATCCGGAGTGGTTGGTGGAACCGCTTTGTGGATATATCCCACGGGAGACCGGGACGGTTTTCTATGTGAAGATAGAAACAGCATAGGAGCGGTGGGTGGACTAATTGAGCCTCTTGTTATTTTTGAACAAGAGAGCGCAGATGGTGACCAATTCCCAACTGCTGTGAGCTACGGTGGGTCGGTGGCCTATCGAGTGTTTGTGCTTTGTGGCATCCACATCCTATGCATAGGAGCGGATGAACGAACGCAGACAACTCGCGTGTTTTATGGCTAGCGACGAGAGAATCATGGCTGTGCTCTGTGATGCGCAGTTTCGGCTGCAGGCCAAGAAGATGCATCTGCTTCGAGTAAGCAAACGATTTCTCGGGCGGAATCAATCAAACATTCCAGTTGGCGTACACACCGCTTTATTGGCACAATCGTTTGGGGATTATTTTAGCTTCATCGCTTGCGGCGAAATCGAACACGGCGAATGCCGCCTTCAATCCGTTTGCTTAATATTTATTTCTTCATCGATGGAACCTCATGATCTGCTGGTAGCGTCGGTGCGTCCCACCTGCGCGGTTATACGCATATGTAGTACGCTGGGTTTTGGGCACTCTGATGACCCCCCTCAAAAAGCATTCATCATCTCTTACCGGCAGGTTGCGCTTGCCACTACCGCCTCGTATGTTGCTCGGAAAATGTTGGCCATTCCTCGAGCTTGCGCGCAAACAGCGCTCGCTTGACGAAGGTGAAGGTTGTTTTAACGTTCTTAATTCTTGCGCCACACCGCCCTCTTCATGGAGAAGAAACGACGCGCTTAGTACTACAGTGGTGCAGTGTTCCTCTTCGCGCTTGTCACACGTACGTACGCGCCAACACGAAAGTTGATCTTGTTGGATCGGTTATAACGATGGCACTCGGTACCAAGCCTCTTCCTCTCAACGCACATGCATCCTGTTTTTCCTCCACCTCCTGAAACAAAACATTTTCACACGTGCTTCTAGAGGTGGCCCAAAAGTCGTCGCTTCCAGAAGCCAGTTGCAAAGACGAAAAAATTACGAAGATGGGCAACATGCTCCAGGCCATCAGGCTTGACCGCAGCCGCAGCATCGCTATAACAACCGACAACGCTTGGACAGGTCCTAAAAATCTCCGAGACCTCCTGGAAAATTCAGGGCCAGGGCCACTGCTACATTAATTTTGGCGCAGCGGCCGTATGAATTGTTCTTCGCTCCGAACAGATTCTCCACAAAGAAAGAAAGCGCTCCACTGTTAGACTAGACTACACGCACAAGGTGCGCATGGGTGGGGGGCACACACTTGACAAAAAAACAAGGGTACCCTCCTGAGTGGGCTCACAGCTCCTGAAAACACAGAGTGAGAGCAGCTGTGCCATCAAGGGGTGTGATGCAAGAATAAAAAAAAATGGTACGGTACCTTGTGAATCGCGCCGCGGCCGCCCCAAACGCTTGAGTAGTGGAGAGGATGACCGTTGTTCTTGTGGGGGGGCAGCTGACGTAGCATCCCAACACCAATCGCCTGCTACTTTTAAGAACAACTGGCTGCCACCCAACGGCTTTGACACTTTTAAGCTCGGAAAAGCTGAGTGCCATTATACCCTTGACGTTTTCCAAGATCGAAGAGCCCGCACAGCGGGCGAGTGCAGACTCGACGAGCCCAGCGAACCCGGTCCGCTGGGCCCTTCGAGTCTGCACTCGTCAGCTGTGCAGGCTGTTCGATCTTGGAAGGAAAACGTTACGGGTGCGGCCGCACTGAACCAAAAAGAAAAAAGTACATGCAGTCGTGCCTCCGACCGATATAAGAGGGTGATGTGACCAAGGCCCTCGGCCCTCTTATATATCATCTTATATCGGAGTCCCCTCTTAATACCGGAATAAGAGGGTACAGTACCAAATAAACACTATCGCGGGTCGAGTCGGTGACAACCGATTTGGACCCTCTTACATCGGAAACCCCTCTTACATAGTACCCTCATAGATCGGAGCCACGACTGTTATCTTTATCCAATCTTTTTTTAATGTTATCTTTATCCAACATTTCGCTCTTTTTTTACTTTGTCTTATTTTTCCCTCGGCGTTATTTATCTGTATATACCAGGTATTCTTAAAAAAACTCAATATTTACCTCCAACTTCAACCCCGAAAGCACCAAGTCGATCTCCGAGCTGCACGCCTTTCGTGGTGCAACGCTCGACTACCCTTAGCGGAAAGCATCTGCACTATTAATAGCCGTGCGAGACCACCCTGTGATTAAACAGCAGGCTCTCGATCATCGAAGAGGCGCACCTTTGCCTTTCCCCTTCTCCAGCTTCTCCCGGATCGTCTTCTACTCGATCGTGACCTCCTTCAGAACATCGTCCAGCGTCAACATCTCCTTCTGTCGCAGGGCGTGCTTCGTCGTGGCAGACTCATCCGAAAGGGCGTCCAACAAAATGTGGAGGACAAAATTTTCGTTGACTTCTAGCCCTTTCTTGGATAGTGACTCGGCGGTGTCTAGCGTCTCTTGTTCAACGAATGTCGTGGGTTTTCGACCTCCCCGTCGCTGAAAACCCTCGACATGCACTAAACAAGATGCTAGACGCCGCTGACTCCCTATCGAAGAAACAACTGCGAGTCAACGAAAAGTTTGTCCTCCACCTATTCTTGGACGTTAACCAATCACGCTGGGTTGCAATGCTGCCCTTCCACCATCACCGATCAACAGGTTTACCGAAGTGTAGGAATCACCCGTCCCCCTACCCACCCTCTCGCCCTCTCCACATTATGATGCTATCCTTGTTTTTTTTTAGAAAGTAAATATAACCTCACAGAAAGACTACCCGTTCGAGATATAACCTCCGCTACACAACTACTCCAAGACCTCCCCCGCAATTCTCTTCAAGCCGACTACCGTACGCAGGTGACATAAGATACCACCCCCCCCCTGGATCGAAATTCAAAGCTCGACAACTCCGCCATGACGAGGATGCCAAAATCAAACCATGTGTTCGGGCTCCCGACGAGACTGCTGCTGCCACTCTTCCTGCTGTCGAGCAACCGAGCCTTAGGAATCGCTCCAGGGTGTGTGTTTCCTACGCAACCGACGGTTCCATCTCTCCCCGGCTCCCGGTAGCCCTCTCTCTTCGCCGGCCTCCCCCGCGGTG